TTCAGCTCAGCAGGATACAATTCCCTTGATGCCGTTGCCAGAATGACTATTGAGTAAGTCCTTGCCATATATAAATTGTTAATGGTTTAACTTTCCTCGCTTCAGTAAGTGTAATAAATATATCAGTACACTACTGATTACAGAATGAGTTCCAAGTCTACCATGCAAATCCCTCTGCTTTTTGTATTTTTTTTTTCATTGTTTGTTTTTTTATTTGTGTAATCAATGTGTTTATTAATATTACCTTTTGTGACAATGCAATCCATTTCTAAAAGGCAATCATGATTATCTGTTTATAGGGAGCAGTGCAATAAAATGAGAGGTCTATGCGGTAAACTGATATGCAATAAATCTTCCCAGATTCTGTGTTGTTCTGTAGAACATAGATAGTAGCCTCACACACAATTTAATATCGAAGCATTGTAGAACAAAGACCTAAAGGAGATTTTTTTTTTAATGGAGCTTGAGGTGTCCGAGTATCACACTAGTGCATCTCATCTATAATTTTTACAAGAATACGATTTTCAATAAAATAACCTATTGTCCAGTGCTGGAAACACTTTTATTCCTGGTACCTACATAAATGGTGAGGTCCAAAGGACAATGTCCTATTGCCTTTACTGGGAAAGTTACATATTTGTATTATCACATGATAGAGGAACGGAGATAGAAAACAGATAACAAAATACATTTTAAATAAGCTGAAGCAAACATAGGCTAAAAGATGAGGCTCTTTTTACAGGATAAATATATCAAAACGTGTATATGTATGTGTGTGAATACCAAGCAGATGCTGAATGATTACTTTGATCATTTGCAAATCTGTAACAAAAAAAAAAACATTTTGCAGAGGTGATAGGTGATACTATTTTGTGCCTAAAATACAAAGCATAAAGTGGAAAATCCTTATTTCCACAATAAATTAACAAATACACCACCTAGTGGAGCGCTAATATAAAAAGTGATATAGGGGTTCACTTACCCCAACAATTTAGTGTGTTCTTAAATTCAGAAATATGCTTTTAAACATACAATGTAGGGAGCAAAGAGATAAAAAAACATATAGTGTAGATGGTTTGGGGGAAAATGAGTGATGAAAGTAAAAAACTAAAACCACTCACATGGTCTGGAGCCTATATAATATTGGCTCCGTACGTAAGCCTATGTGCTCTTTGGGCAGCAGCACACCCCTTCCTCTGAGATGTACCTCCACAACGATAAGGGAACAAAAAGAAGAACTGGACCAAATGGGTGGTATATGTGCAAACAGGCAGATAATATATAGGTGGTTAGTGTTATGCTCACCTGGTTGAGAGCCTTAAATTCCTGGCTCTGAGGGTGGTCAGCGATGTGCCAATATGAAGGGATGGCACTTCCCTGTAAAGATTCCCAGAGGCTCCAAGGTCTTCAGTGGATAAAGAAAATGTATTAATTCCAAATAAAAAGTAAATTTTAAAACCAGAAATTTGGAGTATAAAATTATAAATAAGAATCCAAATAAAAGTCCAGATCAGCCAAAAACGCGTTTCACTCATCACAAGCTCACAGACAAGTGAAACGCGTTTTGGCTGATTTGGACTAAGGCTGATTTGGACTAAGGATTAAAACTTATTTTCGCAGCTGGTCCCATCTCTGGGCTGAGATGATTGCGATTGATGATCCCAGCCAATCCAATGCTTTCCCATAGGAAGCTCCCCTCCCCCCTCACTGACTGGTAGTATGTAGCATGTACACAATAAACTTTGTTCATTGAAACTTCTGTTCCTTAGGAGTATTTGGCTGTAATTAACAAAACATTTGCAGCAATTTTGAGGGACAAATAATTGTAGCTACGGCAAAATAATCATCAAAATAATCGGTTTCTTTTCAAGGTGGAAACCATTTTTGGAGCATAGAGGAATGTAGTAGGGCTTTGTGGGCTGTTTTGTGTTGATTTGCAACATCTTTTTGGTAGAGCAGGAGTTATAGTTTGTATTTAAAACAAGATGAGGAGCAATATAATTACTTTGCAAAGCAAATAATTAGTTTATCAATGTATTATTTATTTGATGTTCCGGTTGCTATATCTGTAACAAGTAGTGATTTAAAGAGATTTTTTTTTTTGTCCACAGTGATGTCATGAGCTTAGGTATTACATTGGCTGGTCATCAGAAGAAAATAATGAGCAGTATTCAGACTATGAGAGCACAAGTGTTACATCTTCACGGAACCGGAATCCAAGTGTGATAGACTGTCCTCCCTTATAAGGGAGGTAAGACTAAGAGACAAGAGCACTGGCCTTCACTACAAATGAACTGCTGCTAGAGTACACTCAGATTCCTGAGTCTCCTTACTATGGCTTTCTACAGTAGATAAAAATAAAATCAACTAGATCCTCAAGCACCTACAGACTTGAACTCCTAAGTGCCACCAAACCATACCGGAGAGAGAATTTGGATCAAACTGATGTGGCAAAGAAGATAGCAGTAAAAAAATAAAACGAAGTACTACCTGACAAAGAACAAAAAAAACAAAAAAACAATAGCTCTCTAACCTCCTTTTTACCCAATGGACTTTTTCAAATTGTACTGTACATAAAGAATTTAAAAAAAAATATATTTGTTGGACAAATATCATGAGACTATTGGTAAATGCAGCAAAAATATTTTCCTTAAGCTGTGATTTATGATATAATCTTATTTTTTCATGTTTTTGTTTTTTTGGCCCTCGCCCCATTTTTGGTACAGTATGTTTCATTCCACATGTACTGGGAACCTATAAATAGCATGGTTAAACGTGTATTTTTATTTTTTATTTTTTTTGAATGCTGGTATTCAGGCATTTTACGGAGTTACTTTATAGACATTGGCAAATCAGCAAATGGAAATTCTGCAGGTTAATTGCTCTGCTATTTTTAGATATTTTCTAAAGATTTGCTGAATACAAAAGCAATAATGGCTCTCTTAGAGGCCATGGCACCTTTGATATAAAATGCACAGTGGAAACATTATCTTATTTCAAGAAAAAATTGCTAAAAATGAGAGTTACACAATTCTCTGTAAAAGCAGGGTCTCCGAAACTAGATACCATTAACTAGTACTGTAAAATATTTCTTGCTGTCCCTATGTGAATATACAGTTTCACAGAAAAAAATACTCTTTTTTTTCTGGCAAAAATTCATTGTATAAACTTTTCACTGCCTGCAATCGAGAACAAAGAGTAAACTTTTTTTTTCTTTTTAACGATAATAGATTTGAAAGAAATAGCCAAAATATATTTTGTACAAGATCTTGTCTAATGCAATCCATATTTGATTGTATGGTTTTAGATTTTATATTAGCACTGTATATCAGGGTGAAAAGGGTAGTTGCTTTGTTTACCGTTAGAGAGTTCGACATCATAAGACACACAGGATTAACTGAACTGCATTGTATATCAATTAGATTAGTAGTATTATTAATTTTTTTTTTTTTTTTTTTTTTACAACTACATGAAAATGCGACAAGAGTTTTATGCCTTTTTCTGTCTACCGGAAGCAATAATAAATTGTGTCTTTCTAGATATTCCCTTTGTGCATATCTTTAGAGTAAGAGATATATTTGTAAAATCTGTTTAGACATCGAACGACCCTTAAAATGGAATCATATCCTTCCAAACAGATTCGGGTTAATTAAAGGAAGATCCCAAGGATCTGTCAGAATTTGGGGATTTATTTAATAGATATTGTCTGGTGAATTGACATCTGAGTTGCCGGATTTACACTAGAGCAACTGAGTAGAAGAGTCTTTCTAACTCGTTTTGACCTAAATTTGGCAAGTCGGTTGTTAACTCATCAAAATGAACAGTTTCATGAATAAAACCCTTAGTCTTCTTTGAAAATGTGGTCATCCACATATTGTAAATCTTTCAGTGTAAAGTGTGTAAATTTTATTTATACTGTCTTGTTTTGTACACACATTTCTCTGTAGTGAGCTCTGAATACATTGAAAATGCACTATATTTTTCTATTTTACTGGCAGAGAATCACAAAACAGGTATTTCAGTGCTTCATAATGTATTTTACCATATAGGACCAAAGATGGCTGCAGAAAACACAAAATGGATATTCTTGTTTGCTTGTTTCACTTTCTAGTCATTTAAATCTCTGTACATTGTTATTTTTTCCTGTCATTTTTATTTATTTGATTTGCTAGATTATCATTTACAAAATGTTTTCCTTTCAAAAATATCAGTAAAATGCATTTACAATATCTCCATTTCATAGACACTTCCATTTGTAATCTTTGTACTAGACTGTAAATATATTTTTGAAACTATACCATAGTCTGCTGAAGGGTTATTTGTGTTTTTATTTTATTTTATTTTTTTTTTTTTGCTTTTTATTTAACCACCCAGAAATAACCTTTCATCGACAAATAAAATGTGATAGGATAATGCCATTCTGTTCACCAAGGGTTCCTATCCCACAGTAAAACTGATGAAATAGTGTTCGCAAGTTACCTTGAACCTATTTTGTTTGGTTTGCGGGGATTCTTTATAAGAAGTTAATAAAATGTGGACATAACAGCAGGCATTGTAACCAATAGGGCTTTGTCAATTTTAACATCTTTGAAATTCCACAGGAATAAAACTACAATCCACAATTGACATTAGAGTAGGAAATACTAACTGGGGATTTCACAGAGTGCAGAAGTTTATAATATATCCTTATTCAACTCATAAAAGCAAACAATATGCCTACAAGTAAAAGCAAGACATTATGTAAATAAGAAATATATGTACATATCTATTGTACAGAACATTTTAATCAGGTAAGTTAAAATTTAGGCAGTTGTCTAATTATTTGTAGATATATCTTTGCTTTTAAAGGGCTGCTTTAAGAACCACAAGAGTCTTACCAATGCTAATTCTGTGCATATTTTAAGTATGGAGCTCATTCATTGGCTATGAGCATTCAGCTGATGAATGCAGTATTGGCAGCGGCTTCTGCAGAAGCATATTGACAATCAGACATGGAGCTTCTCTACCCTTAGCACAACAACACACACTTACACTGCAAATGCAATATATTGTGATTGTGTATATAGTGAATATTTACTAAGTGAGAATTCAAAGTGAGTTTCACATTTAAAGTCAAAATAACAAATTGGAAAATTTCTGTATATCAGCTATGCTTTAATTTCTATTACCCTGGCCTTAAATATGGAATCCACTCTGAATTCTCACCTTAGTAAATGGCCCTGTTAGTTGCAGAATTGTGTTTTTCTTAAGCTAAGTCCTCTAAGCATGGTCTTCTGTTGATTTATGTACAATTTGTCCAACAGAAACTGAAGATTTCTGCGAAATAGATTATGCCGCTGTCAACAGAGAGAATTCTAGGCTGTGTGCATTCATGATAAAATCTTGAAGAATGATGACGATAATGCTTTGTTTTGTTGTACATATGTTTTGTTTAGTAGACAATCGAATCAACACCTTTACATGGGTTGATAAGTGACAGAATGATAGCACAGTAAAAATGCAGAGGTCAGTTTAATATATTTAACTAAATGCTAAAAAGATCAGAATTCATGTTAAAAAAGAAAAATACATAACTTCAATTGATGAAAATTTTAAGTTAAGATAAATATGATAAATAACCCTCCCGCCACTTAATTCTAAATGTATGGTGTTAATATAACAAAATACTAAATAGAAGACAAATCAAGTAGATTGCTTGCAGACTCATGCTCACAACGAAAATAGGAAATTCTCACTAAGGACAAATCGTTAAATGGTTGTATTGAGATACAGGCAATCAATGAAACCTCTTTTAAATTAAACACAATCCTCCCCCACCCCTTCCCACTTCACCACAATTCTTAAGAACTACTGAAGATCATGGTCTGATGTGATTCTTTTGGGCTCTGAACATAGCACAATTAACTCAATATTTTCATCAATATGCACCAAAAAGCAATCAAATACCACTGTAAAGGTCACCACCTGCTCCTGATGGATACCCGGCGCAACTGCTTCCATCACTAATCATTTTCCATACAACTTGAATGCCCATTAAACATTTGATTTACAATAAAATAGTCTGCCATACCTTGGATGTATCACTTACCAGAATCTGACATTTATAGCTTAGAATTTTTTGGCAGCAAAGTAAAATACTAATATAAATATCGCATAGATTGAATGCAAAAATGTTCCTCTTTGTTATACATTGATTGCAATCAGATGTGCTTCGTACAAGGGTGTATAGAAAGTCAGTTATAAAACTGGAATGCAAAAATGACAGCTAGCATTCATTTATTTATTTAAATATGGATGAGAACATTTAGCATTGTCACAGAGATGTGATTGAGTTGCCCATTTAAAAACAAAAGTGTCATGCGCATATTTTATGAAAGAATAGGAATTTGATTTTTTTAAAAATGCCAAGCAAAATGCGTTCCCCAATTAGATCATGCAGGCCAAAATTGAAAAAGTGGCTAATATGCACTTTTGCACTAGTTAGGGTTACGTTGCACTAGTCAGGGGAAGCTACACTTCACGTATGATGTCATAGTAAGTGGACACACAATTGTAGCAATGTTAGCAAATCACTGCAGTTCCAAAGAATATGTTTAAGGCTAAACAAACAATAAATTATTTGCAACTTGCACGGAACCATACCAAGAGAATACATGATTATGATGCTTGGTGTGTACCATTTCTTTGCAAAATGTAAATTAATAATATTTTATAATATGAAATATTGTGGTATTAGCAAGTAAAATGTAATGTATATGTATATAATGACTAAATCAAAACTTTATTTTGCCCCAAATTTGTCCACAGTAAAGATGGTTATTTATACTGGATTGATGAAAAAGGCAGGCAATCACTTGGTGAAGCTGAGAAGACAAGGCATTGTACAAGTATTGAGATATTGATAAAAGGGGAAGAATCTAGCCAGAAGAGGAAAGAATATTTTCTCACAGTTGCCCAGATGCTACTGGTCACTTTCCATAATGGTGTGGATTTAAAACTCCACACATAGTTGCAAACTTTTAAATAAGTGTCTGTTGATTGAACTCTCTCGAATTTGTTACAGAAAATAAATTTGTATTCATTCAAAACTGTTGGAATTTGTATAGATGTCACTTACGTTTACCATCTCTTTCTTCCACATTTTCCATGAAACGCGTTGGAGCATTTTAGAGCAATAATCCCAATATCCTTCATAGACAATGTACACTAGAAAACATTTTTGTTTCATCAGTTATCCTGAACTTATTTTTTTAATAAGAATAATTTATTAAGAATCTTTTTGTAGCAAATGAACAGACTGAGACTCGTAGGATCTGTGGACTGAAGAAAAGTTATGGTAGATACGTACATCATAACTGAAGCACTATCCTTTCTTAATGTGTTTTTCATATTACTTAAACTATACTATAAAATGATATACTATAAATCAGTATATGTTATGTGATTCACTGACAGAAGAGGTCATCTGGACAGGACATAGTGACTTGCTACAGACTAGCAAATATGTGTCTAAAAGTCTGATGTGTAAGGAACTGTAAGAGTGTGTTCAGGGACCTTTTAAATGCACGACCATTTGAAGTGACAAACAGTGTGATAGAATAGAAAAACAAACACACTTTGCAATGTTTGCATATCAAAGGCTCTTAGAGAGTATGCTTTGGAAATGCTGGAGCAACGAAGTGATGGACTGTGCGAACAGAAAAAAACTCGCATCACAACAATATAGTATAGGAGGATATGTATTTTCACTCTTTATACACAAATGCAACAAAAAAGCAAAATGACAAAGTGAATAAGACTGGGAAATAAATCAAAGTATTACAGTAATCCCCACCAGCCTCTCAAGGCAAGACACAGGCTACTACAACCCCCCAATGTTTTTGTATTGTTCATGCACGGATTGTCCCGTTCAGGATCTGCTACTGATGGGTAATGCTCTGGTATTATACAGGTTTAGGATTGTGTTTAATATATGTTTGCTGGAGAAAGGGAGGGTTAGTTCTGATTTGCATTCATACCATATACAGAATTCCCATGGAACCGAAAGTGATTATGTCACTTCTGGTTTTGATCGAGGATTGGCCATCAGCTTAATAATGGGCTATATATACTAGTCCAGGTAAGCGGTGATTCTAGGTACCCTTGAGAAAGGCATCTGCCAAAACGATGAGAGGCAGGTGATGAATTCTGTATTGCGTTGATTTATTTTACAGCCTTATACACTGTATTTTTGTTGATAGTGCTTGTTATTTATTTTTTGCTATGTAATAAAGTATTGAATATTTTATGATAGTTATGGTCGGTGGATTAACAGAAAGAAAAAATGCAATCTTTACTTTTTTTCCCCTCAAAATAAACCTAATAATAATAATAATATAGCTAACAGGACAGAGTAAGCAGGCTAACACAAAGTTAAAAACATGATTATTAACCACTCAAGCATGTGCAGAAAAGATTAAAAAAATTTATGGTGCAGAATGCAGTGAATAAGTTCTGCTCGTTATATACATTAAAGGTACATTTCTATGTAGATTAACGGCAGTCACTGACTTGCAAATAAAACACAAATTTTAATATGCATAACCGAATGATTCAACATCTGCATATGTATTTTATGCAAACTACATTCCAGTTTCATAGGGTGTAATCCATGTTAAATCTCAGCAGATTTAAGCTTTACTGTGCAAAGTTGAAGCCTATTTTCAATAGTTTATTTATAAATCACAAGCGTAATGTGCAGTGCTATACAATAGACACACTACAGGTAACCAATTTATTATATTACAAAATTACTGAACAAAAGGGTGGAAAGAGCCTTACTTGTGTAAACATGTTATATTACTTAAATGTATTATATTAGTCAATTTATCTGTTGATTTTAAAGGGAACATGTATTGATACGATTTCTTTTTTAGGAAAAAGCCAAATAATATCAGTGGCATTATCTATTTTTAAAAATATATTATTAGGGTTATTCACTAAACTAAAAAAAATAATAATCATTCAATAGATACCATTGCTGGTAAAAGGATACTTTATGGAGACAGTTCACTAAATTACTGTACTCTGTAAATTGTATCCAATTTGATCAGGATCAGAACGCTTCCCTTGTGAGAAATGAGCCAGACTCGGTGCTCAACCAAATGCTGTTCCTAGAGAGTATTTGATTGGCACAGTGTGGCAATTTACAGTGCATTCGCACTAGCCTCCCAATGATTTTATTCACTATGGGGAATCATTGGATTAGCTGACATCAAACCCTCATGAAAGTGGAGAGGGGTGCCTCAATAGGTAGGATAACACTATCGTGTTAGGAATACATGTTTGTTTCCTTTAAAGGGACACTGTAAACATTGTAACTGCTTTATCTCATTGAAATGATCATAGTTTCTGAAGTCCCCAGACACGGTCCTTCAATTTAGTATAAAACTGCTTTTAATGTTTTAATTCTAAATTAGAGTCCCCAACAGCCCATCTCCACTCTGCTGCTTGGCTTATGAGGAAGCATTAGGATTGGCTGAGAGTGTCAGCTGACTGATTTCAGCCTATCACAGTACCCATTGATGGCATGCATTGCGATGGGTAGAAGGAAGTGTGCAATCTCAACCTTAGCCTACCTCCTGTAGGGGCCAGGCTTCGGGTGGCCAGAGATCCATAAATGGTTTAACTGTGAATGGAGGGACACAGGGCCAGTGCATCTATAAGGCGGCACAAGAGACCGCCTTAGGGCTCACCGGCCGGGGGGCGCTAGATCAGAGTGACAGGCAGGAGGTGGAGGCACACAGCGCTCCCTCCTGCCAGGCACTCTGTGTAGCAACTGTTTCTTGTACCCGGCCGGACTGAAAGGCAGTGCCCACTAAGAGAGCACTTCCTGTCAGTCCAGCCAGGTACAGGAAACTGAAGTTCCTGTACCGTGGTCTGCTCCGCTAAGCCACCCTACTATAAAGGTAGGAGACTTACCGGGGACAAAGGGGGGAGAGAGAGGGGGAGGAGTGGTAAGGAACTCTATGGGATGGGGGGTGGGTGGAAGAACACTATGGGACAGAGGAGGGGTGTGGGTGGTAAGGAGCACTATGGGACAAGGGAGGGGAGTGGGTGGTAAGGAACACTATGGGACAGGGGAGGGTGTGGGTGTTAAGGAGCACTATGGGACAGGGAGGGAGTGGGTGGTGGGAACACTATGGGCGGGGAGGGGGAAAAGAACACTATGGGGAGGGGATGGGAGTGGGTGTAAGAAACACTATGGGACAGGGGAAGGGGCATGGTAAGAAAACTATGGGATGGGGGGAGAACACTATGGGGGGGAGGGGAAGAACACTAAAAAAGAGGGAGGGGAGATGAACATTAAGGGGGGCACTAAGGTACAGGGGAGGTAAGAGAAAAGGAACAATGGGGTAGGGGGCGACCACTAAAAGAGAAGGGAGAGAAACATTAAGGGGGGGGAGACAGGTAAGGGGGGAACTCTAATGGACATGGAGGGGAGAATAGAGGAACACAGGGGGGGTTGAGTGGGGAGAAAGACACACAGAGGGACATGAGGGGGGAGAAAGACACACATATTGGCCTGGGGGTAAGAAAGTTCAGAGGGGCTGGGGATGAAAGTGCCACACAGAAGGGCCTGGGTATGGAAATACAAAAGGGCTGGGAGAGGAGACACAAAGGGGATGTGGGGAGTAAGACACACAAAGGGGGGTTGTAAGAGATACACAAGGGAGGTGTAAGACACACAATGGGGAAATATAAGGTATGAGATACAATAAACAGGGTAATACATTTTAAAAAGGGGTATAAGGGGCACACGGGTGAAGATGCTTTTGATTGGGTGGGTGGGAGGGGGGGTGCCAAAATCATCTTCACCTGTGTACCCAAAAATACTTGCACCGGCCCTGGAGGGATGTTTCCATCGTAATCCAGGCACTATAACCAATTAAATTAAATAGGTTATTGTGCCTATAATGTCCCTTTAACTTGCCTTGGAATTAAACCTATTGCTTTCAAATGATCTGGAGTTTTGGCATTCCTACTAATTTTTACTTTGTGGAGATATATATATATTTGTGGTGAGAGCAGGACCTGCTCCAGATGCTTCTTGCTATGATGAATGAGATATTGGTAATAGACTGACAGGATTATTTACTAAAGTGAGAATTTAAAGTTAATTTCAAATGTATGACCACAGTAATTATACTAGAAGCATAGATGAATTAGATAATTTTTCCAGTTCAGCTATTTTGACCTTAAATTTGAAATTCACTTTGATTTATCATTTTTGGAAATAAACCCTTCACGGATATGAACACTGCTCGAGTTTACACGGCTGCTATCTTTAAACACTCCCAGCTGGCAGTGATTAGCACAGAATGGATGGTGATCTATATCTGATAATGCTGCCATAAATGCTGGAAAGGCCTGCCTTGCATGGCATTTGGAACATGTATCTGCTAATTGTAAGGCAGGTAAAATGTATGCTTACCTTGAGAGAATATTTTGTTTGAATCATTAAATTAACTCCCCCAAATTGCACTTATTAAATATCTGAATTAAAATTCTGGGGAAAATTTGTGGATGTCCCCTCTGTTAATCTTATGGAATGTCCCCATCTGCTGGTGATTGGCAGGGACAATTTAAAGCTCCCCCACCTGATGTCCACTATGTCCATCTCCTGTTATTTCACAGGCACCATCCCCGTTGGATATGACTTTTTCTAGCAGAGGGGTAGCAATTACTGCACAGCTGCAAGTTTTAACATGTTAGTTGAAAAGTTCCCAATTGCCGCATAGCATGTCTCTATTATAGAATATAGGATTTTTTCTATTAATTTATTTCAAAAACAAAAATGTATATAGCAGCTGGCTAGCAAGTGCTTGCCAGCCACCACATAATTAACCCTTGTGTTACTGATGTTTTTTATATAACTATAGTAATATTGTAATTGCACTATTGTACAAACATCTAGAGTGGGAGGCTGAAGGAAGAAACAGGCACTGGCCATATATGTACATATGTAATTAAAATGATTCAACCCCCATTAAAAATCTGGTTTATTCACAACGTTTACAGACTTCCAGCTGTTTGCAATGAACAAATAGGCTCAACAATGATTAGTAGCACAAATGAGCACCAAGGCCCAATACTGACCGTAGGTATGGATGGGAGATGTCCACCAAATCACTAGAGGGTTTTTACAGTGGCTAGAAGTCCTCAGGTACACAATATGTCTGCAGAACTTGCCTGAAAGCATGCAGATACTTCATCCATCGATACTGCACTGGTGGTGTGTATTGGGGATTGCAAAATGGCTGCTCAGAGTCTCACAAGACTCAAGATGTCCACAATGCTGGCAAGTGCGATGGCCCGTCCACAGTACGTGTGAGAAATGCTCCCCTGGCTTAAGGTAATTAAAAAAAGAGCTTGATTTTGAGAAGAAACAAGAGGCCAAATTAAAATGGAACCTGACATGAATCGTGGAAGAATAACCTGCGATCATGCCCTGACACCCAGAGAGTGCCAGTGTATGAAAACTTGAGATAACCTAAATCAGAGAACCTTAATCAAAGAAGGGGAATAAACCTATATGATAAGTATATAAATTAGGGACACGTTATCCTTGTACATGAATGAAAAGCACATACATAATCTACCACTGCAAAGAAAAAGTAATGAATCGACATAACACTCTGACCTGTGTAGCTGTCCGGGAGCAGCAAAGAAAGAGGAGGTGCTTAGGTGGGCATGTCTATTTGTTGGGTTTGTTGTTTTTTGATTGGCTCTCTTATTGCTGAGTAAATATTTTGCTGCTGAGAGTACAGTAAATGAAGTCTAGCAAAATATGAAAGCTCCTGTCATGTAATAAAATGAGATACTATCTCTGCATAAAACACATCAGTACTTAATGTTGAGTAGCAAGTTTCAAAGGTACTTCTATCCACAAGAAAAGAGAAAGAGCAATTGTGTGACTAAATATTTTGCAAGAATGAACTGTAAATGTGGCAGA